GCTTGGTCCTGTTTATTACTAAACACAAACAGGTTCTCTGGGAAAACACTGGTGACTATGATTTTCTCCCTGCTCTTCCTGAAATCCTCTTAAATTGTGCTAAGAAGTTATTGAAGTTAAACCAATAAAAAAAACCCTAAGGACATAGGGATGTAGATGTTAGGCCGTCAGAGCCTTGAACATGAAAACAGCCTGTGCTGGGCAGTCAGTCTGGTGGCAAGAACTCTCCTGTCTTGCACATGGGTTCGGCCTCACAGGGCTCTGAATTCTGGGTGAGAGGGAATCAGTTTTCTTGGCACCAGAGTGGAGATGGGGCCAGCAAGATTTTGTTAAAACATACCCCCACTTAAGGCACCTTCTTAAACCTCTTGCTTCTCAAAGTTGGTTCCTGGACTGTGAGCATCACCTGGGCTTGTTAGGAATGCACAATCTCAGGCTTACCCCACACCTGCTGATGGTGAATATGCTTTTAAACAGGGCCCCTGGGGAAGGAGGATGCACTCCAGGCCAAGAAGCTCTACTCTCTGATGCACTGGAAAGGGCTGACACCCAGGACCCTTCTCGTCAGTGCACAGTGCAGACGCCTGGAACAGTCCATCCAAGGAGCCCTGCTGGAGGCCCTGCACTGGCCTCTGGTCTGAGCATGCAGGGGACACCCTGAACCACCTCCTGCTGGAGTGTGCTCCTTCTTCCCCAGATGCCCTCCTATGGCAGACAGGGGCTGGATATTCTGAGGTATTTTCAGAAGTGATGGGACTGTTTAGCCACATCTAGAAAAGAGGAAGATGAACACAGAACTCCAAGACACACACACACACACACAAACACACACACACACACACACACACACACACACACACACACGAAAAATCAGAGACTTTAGAAGAGGCCCATCTGTAGGTTGCAGTGGAGCCCACTGACTGTTGGGCAGCATGGGGGCTTGCTCTTCTCTGCTGACACCATCCTCAATTCTGATGCTTTCTGGATTCAGAACAGCTGTGGTAAGTGCAGTACCTATTTGATCTATTTCTCTTTTCTAAGAATCCTATGGGGTGAGTGTTATGGATCCCATTTCACAGATGGGGACACTGAAGCTTGGAAAGTCAGTGTCTTGCCCCCAATGCACACTGGGGAGAGGGCCAAGCCAGGATTCAAACCTAAGATCCTTGTGCTCCATCCTGCCTCTCAGTCAGAATTTGCTTTCCCATCACCAAGGATATTAATGTCAGGACACTTAGAATGGCCACAGGGCTCAGGAGTGAGGAGCAGACGGGCAGGAAATACTCAGGGACAACGCAGAAAGCCCAAGATCATTGAACCTGGAGAAGAGGGGCCTCTGAGTCTCTGAGGGGAGGGAACTGGCTTGCGTGTCCAGGGGAGGGGGCAAAATCTGTGTAGCAGAGGGTTGTGGGAGATCTGGTCACAGAGCACATCCTGGTGCCTTTCCCTCAATACCCCAAGCTGGCTGTCCGAGGGTCTCCTACCTCCTCACATGGGTCAAGGCCATCCCTGGCTTATAGGGAGAGCTTGTATACAAGAGGGCAGCCCAAGTATAACTAGGAGGAAGTCACCTGCAACCCCAGCTGGCGCTTTGGCAGTGTTCACTGCTTATAAGTTACACACCATCACCCTACACCACCACATCTCAATGATCCCACTTCATTTATTACCAAAATATCACAGAATTCCAGTCATAGTTCACATACAGTGTTTAACACAAACCTGATACCTGTGGAAAGAACTAAGTATTTGGACAATCAAATGTTTGGAATCATATCCCAAACTGTTATCACTCCGTACTCCAAAAATACGCTTTGAGAGCTTTGGAAACTGAATTAAAATGTCTACACAGCTATGAACAATTGTTTAATAAAACTTTTTCATGTTTCCATTACATGTAAATATATCAATTTGGCATCTCTATAAAAACTCTGAAAATGGTGCAAAAGTTTCATTCTCTTTGAGAAAGCCATTGACAAAAAATATTCATACTTCACTAAAATTTTGAAAAATGGTCTTCTTTCAAAGCTTCTTTATTAATCTGAAATCTTCTGTATTATCAAAATCTAGGTTTGCTTTTTCCTCTTAAAACACTAAAGAACATTTATTCACAAGGATAAAAAGGGAAATAGGAAGATGGAATACTGAGGGCTTTTTTCCCCCTTGAAAATTAATAATAATAATAATAATAATAATAAGCTAGTTACATAAGCATCCTCAAAATAACACAATGGGATTCATTTTATTGTTGACTTTGGACAGCAGTGTCATACTTTATTGAAAACAAACCCATGTAAAAACAAAGTTAAAATGAAAAATGGTATCTGAAAAATAAATTATTTTATATAAAACAAATCAGTAACTTAAAACACTAATATACAAAATGTCTACTCATCTACTGTACAACAAGGGGACCGGTCGGGAAAGTCCCCCTCCCCCAGAGCAAGTCACTATAAACAGAACATTACATGGTAACGAGGTGGTCCCAACCAATGGACAAGCTTTCTCTTCTGGGGGTAGGGGGAAGTGAAATATAGTCCTCTCAAAATCACTGCTCAGACCACTGGTTAGCCTAACATAGGTCCTGGTGGTGACTTACAAGTAAATTTTCTTCTTTTGAAAACAACCAAGCAGAAAACTGAACTATGTCACCAAAAGGTTGTGGGAAAATATACAATACAATCATTAGAAGTCAGAGGCAAATCAAAAGGTTTAGAACCTTGAACCCCACTGAAGATCTGGGATTCAAGTTCTACTGCTATTGTAAGAAAGGGTCAATTATCAATGCCACTCAACACAAAGCACTTGCAACCTTAGTTGGTGGCTGGCCTGGAAATCTGATGAATGGGAGGGAAGTAGGTGCCTTAGGTCTTGGGAAGATGGGAAGAATTTCTGGTGGAGGACTTGGGTAGGGGGTGAGGGTGGGGCAGCTTATTCTTATTCTTTTTTATCCAACACAGGAAGGCTGCAATAAGTAGAGAGAGAAAAATCAGGCTGCATCAGATGTAAAATGGAACAGCTAGCTGGGTGATGCTAACTTTGATTTTCAAGCCCAACAGTGGACTCAGGTCAGTCAATGGCCCTACAATGGCCCTAGTTTGGAGGCCAACCAGAATAAGTTATTGCCAATAACTTTCATAGGATTCTTCTACTTGTCTGATCCAGTAGGGACCGCTCAGTTGCCAGCTCAGAGGCACCAACTCCTGCAGCAGCCTGGTGCAGACCCCGGATGCTGGGTTTCTAGCATTAACACCAAGTGCAGACTCTCCAAGGTTAAGTCAGCTGCCTTTGGCAAGGGAAAAACTCACCTTCTGAACAAAGATGACAGACCAACCCAGCCCTACCTGCTGGTAAGAGGCATAGTGGCGCAGAAGATCATGGCCTAGCATATTCCACTGAAAAGCTCCAGAAGTCAAGGGTTAAAAATAAAGAACTCAACTGGAATCAGGTCCACAAGTTGGGAGCTGTTTAGCAAACAATTGTTAAGGTAGTTACACAGGACAAAAGAGAATTCAACCAAGGCTTCTTTGGTATTTATGTACCAAACCAAACTTGTGATAAATTAACTTTATCTACTCTTATTTTTCCCATCAAAATTCCCAAATAAGATCACCCATTTTGCAAAATACAAATATAAATAAAAATGTAAATTTTGAAAAATGGTTTCTTTTGGATTGTGACTTTTAAAAAATAAATCTTCCTTTTGCAAACAAGCCTAGAGATGTAACGAACTTTATAGACACGGGGCCAGCATCTGGTACCTGGATGGGAGTGACAATTGCTTTTCAGGAGGAATATGTCAAAAATAGAATCGTTCCACACACCTGTACATCAAAACTCCCAAAGAAACACATTGGGGTTTTTAGTTAGAAGGCTATTCAAAGAGGGGTGAGGCGACCATGTAACAGGAGAATTTTAATGACCTGAGAAACTCAACCTTCAAAGGCTCATATGTACTCTACATCTCCTCTTCATCTGACCTAACATCAGAACAATCAGTCTGGTTCAAATAAAAGGGAGGGGAGGAAAGAAGTTGCAGTGCTGGGTGCCAGCCCACCATCATCTCGTTTGCATTTATATTATCCTTGTAATAAAATGAGCACGAGTGAGGGCTGACAGGAATGTGTGTCAAAGAGATTTAAGGGGTGGTTTTAGAATTGGGAATCTTATCTCTGAGAAAATGTTGGCCCAAGGTTGCACCACCTGAAAGGCTTATTTTTCCAGAAAAACATGCCAGTCCCAGGGTGAAGAGCACTCTGGGGCAACAGAGCGGGGACAATCTCTATGTTTGGGGTTCTAGGAGGCACGCAAGCTGGCTTTGACTTAGGATCTGGGAAATTCTGCTGGAGGGAGGAGGCCCTCCATGGCAATTTATGAGACAAGGCCTCAAGGTATGAACTTGGCCTTGTATGGGAAAAGAACATGGCAACATCTTAAATTTGGGAGAATAATGTAAGCAGCTGGTAGCCCCTCACGAAAGTATGAGAGTAATAGCCTCAAAATTTTTCATGGGCTTCTCAGAACACTGATCTTTTTTTGAGAGAAGGCTGTGCCCATCGGCCTTTCCCCTCCCCCACGTAAATAAATAAATAGACTAATAGATAAATAATGCTGCAATTCCATGATCTCAATAACTAAAAAACAGCCTATTATTACGTTTAGTCTTGTGTCAAAGTTAAAAACTGCTGGTACTAAGTTATTCTGTTTTTTATTCTCACTGTACACTAGATATTTATAAAAATCGGATCATGCTCCTTAGGAATTGTCCGGAGATCTAGTCCTGGCTACTTCGCAGGCCCTGTCAGATTCTCCCTACTGGCTCCCCATTTTAAAAACACACCATCTGTGACTGCACATTCCTATACGACAGATTTGTAAATGCTTTGTCTTGAGGCAAGTATTTGTTCCTTAAGCTCTTATATATCCTCCCTGAATGCTGGGCCGTCTGTATCTTGCCTAGCCAAAAAGAAAGAAAAGGTAAAATAAAAAACAAAACAAAATTTGAGCAAAACAAAATCAAATTTAATGGTCTTAAATGCAAAAGTAAAAACAAACAAAAAACACAAAAAAGCAAAAGAAAATTAACAGAACAACCCAAAATGTCAAAGCAATAATGAAGAGAACTTTTTTGAGGGTTAATCTTTAAAACTACAAATCAAAGGTTTTCTTTTTTTCGTTAATAGATAATTGGCAAGAAGTAAGTACTTTCCTGCTGAGTGTTCATATGAAAGCAAAGTTTCAAAACAAAATCCGACTAAAGTAGAAAAAAGTCTAGCACTCACAAGGGATATGAGAAATATAATGCTCAAATGTTCATGTTATTAAAAATAGAGCTATCTTATGCATTCGAGCTATGTTAAATGCTTTTGGAAACTGGAGAAATGGCTAGAACAACAATATCTGATGTGTGGGGCACTGTGCATGCAATGTGTGGACAGGAACTCAGAATGTCAGAGTAGCTACACATCTTCAGGAGTGCCTGGGGCTTAGATCTGATTCAGGAATATATGGAGTTTCCCTGAAACTCTTTGGTCCGTTCCCATTGACGTCTGGGCTTAGAAAACATTGTGTCCTCCTTTAGAGGGCCTGACCCAGCTTGTGCCCTGTCCCCAGTGGTGGCCCTTGGCCACTGTCAGGACTACTTGGCAGAACCCAGGACTGAGTGACCAGAAGGTGGCAATGGGACCTGCTTGGGGAAGCAATTTCATGTCAACCAAAGCAGAAACTGCTTAAAATGTTGAAGCAGTTGAGAAAACGCACACTCAGCATCTGTCTAACATCTTTAGTTTAAAAACGAAAATTAAAAGGTCATTTTTTTTATCCAGTTTGTGGAGACACCGAATGAAGTGGGTGTTAGACAGTCTTAGAAGTTAAAGCATGCTTCAGTTTCACCACCATCCCGAGGGACTGGTTAGTCAATGCAGTCTACTTAGATTTCTGTTTAATATATATTTTAAAGGAAATAACTTAAGAAACTTAAAGTTGGTCTAACATTGTGGGATTTCAAACATTTGAACATGTTGGTTGCATCTCAGAGTATAAAAACCTTTTCACTTCTCATTTAGACTAAGACAAACACTTGTGAAAATTGGCGCAAAATGAGTTGTACACTAACAAAAAAGTTTCAACTTCTTCACTCTGAATTATCTATTCCGTACAAAAAAGCATGAGTGAGTTATTTGTGGGACTTGTTGGTTTTGAAGGAAACCTGTAAGATTTTGTCCCCCAGGCGGTAGCCGTTCAGACTTGCTATGGCCATCGCGGCTTCTTCATAGTTTGTCATGGTCACAAAACCAAAGCCTTTGCACTTGTTGGTGTTGAAGTCGCGAATCACTTTCACATTGGTGACTGCGCCAAAGGGGCCAAACATCTGCCAGAGGATTCCCTCATCGGCATCTTGACCAAGGTTGTAGATGAAGATGCACCAGCCTGAAGACGCGTTTCCTGGGACATTGACACCAGAAAGCCCACTCATGTGATCTACACCCATAGGGGAGAACCTAGCAAACAGAGAGCACAGCATTCAGGTCAAGGTCAAGGTCAGTGTTGGCAAGCATGCCAACACTATTGGGGGAACAGGCGGGATTGGCTCAGGCCCTTCCCTCTCCCATCAGCCAGGGGTGGAGTTCTCAAGGCTGCCACACCCCACCAGTCACAAGCAAGATTTTTTTTTTTTAACTGAGAGGAATTCAATATGGTGGCAGAGGAAGGGAGTTGCCCCTGAGACACTTGTTGCCTGAGGAAGTTCAGAGCCTCAACTGATTTCTCTCAGAATGATGGTCTGTTAGTGGCTGACCAACCACTTCCTCCACTCTTCCCACTGTGTGTGTGTGGTTCCTGTTCGCCATTTCTGTGCTTCTCACATTTTAAATGATGGAAGCCTCTCCACATCCTCTGAGGTGCTCTTACACCCTCAAATTGCCCTGGAGGAAACGCTTTCCTCATACTGCATGTATGTCTTTTGGGAAGGCCTGTACTTTTTTCTTCTTTTTCTAAATTTTGTACCTTCCCCTGGTCATGACCTGCCATCTCTAAGGATCCACAACCAAGCGGTGACCAGGTTACACATGCTCCGGTGAAGGGCCACTGCTGGCACAAGGGAACTCCTTCCCAAAGCTCTGGGTAACCTTCCGTTGCTGGCTCATAACATCCCAAAAGGGCCAGAGGCCATACTGCAGGGTCACTGAACTGTACCAAAAATGTGGAACATTTTGATGTAATTAAAAGTGTCACTTTTAATTACATCAAAACTAAGCCTTCTACCAATGTGTAGCCATTGCAAAAAGGATTAAGGGAGATAATAGAGTTGTAACTGAAGCCATGTGGCCCTCTAGATGGTTCACAAATTAAAAAGTCATGGTTTCAGGTCAATTTAAAAAGATCTGACTGTGATACAATATCCGTGAAGCCACACCATGCAAATGGAGAAGTATTATATTTCCAAAATAAAATCGGGCTTCGAGCTGTGGGGCTGACAGAGAGGTAGGTGGGTGCCTTCAAGGGGCCATTAAACAAATTCACTTTCTCGACAGACATGACCCCAGGCAGGGTGACCAGCCCCCGAGGTATAGGCCACTGATCCAAGGATTGTATTCAACACAGGTATGGAAGAATCCAGACACATTATTGGCCATGGCTTTGACTTCTCAAGAATAATTTTAAACAGCCTACATCAGAACACCTGAGTTGGTTACATGACTTGTGGTTTGTCAGTGATCTTGAGTCTGTTGGGATGACAGTGAGACCACAACAGCATTGAAATGGGGGTGAGAAAAGGCACCCAGCTGGTTCTCAATGAGAACTGGAAAGGGATTCCCACTTTTAAAAGGACCCCTTAAAAGGACCTACTTTTCTCCAAGTTTTATAGGTACCCAATATGGACATGACTTATTATAGTTAACCTTCTTATGTAGCTATTATACTACAAATAATCTGAAGAAATACTTTACTGCCTTTTATTGACATAATTCTCATTCTTATGAATTATTGTTAAGGTTTTTCTCCTGCCAATTGGAGCTGGTTTCTTTCATCCTGACAGTCAGGAAACTCACCCCTAACTCCTTTCTCTTATGGCACAAAAGGAGAGCTGACCCTCCTTTCCCCAATGTGGTAACAACAGAGGCACTTTCTTCTCTTCCGGGTCTTTCTCTTATTCTTATCTTAGTCTGCCTTCTGGTGGTAAATCTTTCCTCCTGTCTCTCCCACTCACTACTTCCTTCCATCTTTTTGCTGTGTTCCTCTGGCCATCATGTTCCTTTCCCCGCCTAACCAGCTGTTTGGTCGCCACTTTCTTTTCTACTTCTTGTTGCTGTGAGCAAGGCCCCCTTCTCCTCCTCCAGCCGTCCCTGGTTTTCCAGTTACCATAACTCAGTGAACACTGCCATCCACTCATCCTGATCAGTAGTGAGGTGATCTATGTTATCTGACTTCCACACTGGATTTACTTCCCTACTTGCTTCTGTCTGAAGGCACTTCCCCTTGCCTTTGTCTAGTAACTAGGAGAGCCTGCCTTTGTCTAGTAACTAGGAGAGCCAGCTTTAGAACCTGACATGGTTGAGAACTTTGGACAGGGCTTTTCAACAGAAGGCATTTAGTATTTAGATATCAAAATAACTCCACAGGTATGTGAGAAAGGGTTGCCTTAGGCCTAATGACCAAATGTCTAAAACCTGTTTAAAAACTCAGGAAGGAGAACAGCTCTCACTGAACATACCTACAGCTGCATCCTTTTCTTACGGAGTTGAATGATGCATATTTTTAGAGTATTTTCTTTTTTGTAAAAAAAATTGAATTTATTGGGGTGACATTGGTTCACAAAACCATACAGGTTTCAAGTGTACAACTCAATAAAAGATCATCTACACACTGCATCCATGCGCCCATCGTCCCAAGCAATGTCTCTTTCCTTCCTCATTTCCCCCTCGTTGCCCACCTACAGCTAGCTCCCACCCCCCTTTCCCTCTGGCTATTACCACATAATTGTCTGTGTCTATGTGTTATATATACATTGTTTTTTTGGAATGATCTTTTAAACTCACAGCTATACTCTCATCTCTCTAGAAACTATATACTGGAGTGCTATCACCCGTTCTCTCAGTACCTGTTTGGAACTGGCATCATCTTTTTAATTCTAATTAAAGACAACACTCAATTGGAAAGAGATGGCTTTCATACAGACACTTTTATAATGGAGGTGGGACATGGAGACATGAAATGATTCTGAGTACAACCTTCTGATGTGAGCAGCCTGGCATGCCCAGTGCTTCCCACTATATGTGGTTACCCAACAAGTGAGGCTCTAACAGCCTTCAAAGCACTGCCAGCCATGATGGGAAGAGACTGGGTAGGTAGATGAGAGCACTGCCCTCCTGACCCACCTGAATCTCTGTGCCTGGTGATGCACGGGGCCTCCAAACCGTCTAGCTGGCGAGTGGTACAGCTGGGAGAGCAGCGCCACATTTTTGTTCTGGTTGGGATTGGCTGCGAACTTCACTGTAATGGGTTCAGAGGAACCTGGGGGTTTATGACCATTGAAACTGGTAATTGCCTCTTCTGCTTCCGACCGTTTGTCAAACCGGATAAACGCAACCCCTCTGGACAAACCTTTTTAACAAACCAACAAAAATGGAGTTAGGGGAAAAAAATGCAAGGATTTTTTAAAACTGAAAAACAAAAATCAAGCAAGTCAGTCTACTGTGCTTCAAATTGGATGCTTACTTAATGAGATAAACAAAAATTAAACCTAAATATGCTCAAGCCACCTGGGTCAAGGTTTCATTATTCTGTGTGAAGTGAATTTGGAAATGCTAAACATGTTTAAATTAAGAATAAAGGGACAACACAGCCGGAGTGGTTCAGTTGGTTGAGCATGGTCCTGTGCACAGCAATGTTGCCGGTTCAATTCCTGGTGAGAACACATACCTGGGTTGCGAGTTCGAGCCCTCATCAAAATATATATGGAAAGCAGCTGATCGATGTCCCTCCCTCGCTCCCTCCCTCTCTTTCCTCCTCTCTTCCTCTTTCTAAGTATGTCCTTGGGTGAGGATAAAAAAAAAGAAAAAAGAATGAAGGGGCATTTATAATCCAATTAAAAATAGTTCTATGATTATCTAAAAAAAAAGAATTAAAAAAACCCAACAATGACTAATAAAATATTAAGGTTTCAGACTTTCTTCTGAGTTACTCAGTGCCAAAAGATATTTTGGTGACAGACAGCCACATTAGAAGCAATCACACCCCCTACCTCCCATCACTATTTTGACACCAGGTACCCACTGTGGTGTGGGTGCTGGATGGGCTGGGGTGGGAAGGCAACCGATTGGCAGGGCTGGGTCTAAGAAGTCTCCCTGGGCTCTGGACCCGCCTCCCCCCCCCCCCCCCCTCATTCCATGCCTGCCCTATCCTCCCAATGTGCCTGAGGAGCAGTGGTGCCTCTGAGGGCCTATAGTGAATAAGGAGCAACCTGGCCGCATAGCCCGGACAGGCTTTTGCAGCCTGCTGCCTTTCTAGTGGGCCCAACAGAATCCCTGATTACTAGGTGCCCAGCTCAGCCTTCTCCTTCATCGCTGAAGGGCGCGGAGTCCCAGTAACTAAACCTCACCCTAACAGCACTTTCCTGCTGCCATCAGCTCATTCACTACTTGAAAGTCCTGGGACCTCCTGTGGACCCCAATCTGCCCTCAGAATCAAGTGATGCCACTCACTTTTTCCCCCTAAACTGACCAGGCACACACAACAGTGCTGACAGTCCCCCATAGACCGCCTGGTAGGTTAAGAGACCCTGCCTTAGGCCTACTCCATACCTGGTCTTGTTCCCAGGAGCCCCTCATCTCTCCCTGCATGGGATGGGCCAGGGACCCCGTCGTGGCCTCCATCTGCCTCGAGGTGGGTATCTTCTCTTGCTACCTAGACTGAGGCCCCTGTAGGTAAGCTGAGTCCCTCAACAGAGCAGGAACGCAATACAGGACCAGGCTGCCTGAGATCTAAGGCCCAACTGCTATAGGCAGTGTCTGGTCAGTTGGCATGAGTGTGAGACCTGAGCAAACCAGATAGCAGAGGGTTCAGCTGCCCCCAAACCCTGTCTATCCACATTCTGGGTCTGGGGGGATGATGAGGAGATCTTGGCCCTTGAAGAACTCAAGGAATGGGGTGGGGCTGGGGTGAGGGAATTTGGAGTCACAGAAGAGCCTGGCTCCTTCTCCTGAGAAGAAACAGTGTCAAAAACAAAACAAAACATACACAGTGAAGGTTCAAGTGTAGTGGAGAGGTGACAGCAAGGGCCAGTCTGAGGGTGACATTGCTGGGCTGGAGTCACAGGTGTAACTGGTGGGATGACTGTGGTCAATAGCCCTATCCTAGACACTGTCATATTGCCTGCCATTCATAGGGCCACCAGCTAACTGAACACACCAGATGTCCCCCCATTCAGCTCCCATTTTCCAGTACCTTTCCTTACCATTTCCCACAGGGTCCCTCCTACTAACTGCCTCCCCCATGGTGGGCATGGGGCATGAGTCTCCCTGGCTGGTCCTGAGGCCCTGGAGGGGCAGAGAGAGACTCAGGCACATCAGATGACAAGTGTCACTGCAAGGCATGGTTGACAACTCTCTGTGTCTAGAATTCCATGTTGAGGCCTGACTTGGATGTGATACTGTGGGCCCCACTGAAGCACACAATGAATAGTCAGGGACCCTCAGGCCAAGGATTCTTTGTTTACAACTGTAACATATTGTGGACAACCCATGCTGGGTCTTAAAGCACACAACACTCCAACTAGGAAGCTCCCTGTCCCAGCTTACCCCTTTCCCCTGCACAGTGCCCTGGGAGATCATACAGAAGCTCCTAGCGGCCTGAAAGCTGTCCCCACGTTGGCTTCATGACTCTTTAAAATTCACACAGCCAGAGACACTCACTGAATTAGTGAGATCAGACCTAGCAATCACATGTATGCCCCAGAAAAATCTAGAACCTGAGCTTATTTTTTTATTTCAGTTCAAAAGAACACCTGAAAGTATTGTTTTTATTCACTCTTAAAAGGCATGAATAATAGCTTAGACAGATGGAAACCTGAACAAAATCTAACTTTAGATAAATAATGCTGAGCTGGCAAGCTCCTATAGGAAGCTGCTTTCTGGGAGATGGTTTTATTCTATTTATAAAGACCTTAAGATCAAGCAGAGAGAGTGTGTATGCAAGTGGGATTTCCTGTTTGATTTTGTAAAATGACTTTCAAATGAAAATTTCCCGATGCAATGAACAAAACCCGAGAAAGAAAATGTTATTTAGTGCAAGAAAACGTTAATTCACTAATGTGATAAATCTACACTTTAATGTGATAAATCTACACTAGAGGGAAAAAATAGAGCTATCTTCTAAAAAATTCCCTCTAGTGTTTTTTATTTTATGTACTAGAGGCCTGGTGCACGATATTCATGCACAGTGTGTGTGTGTGTGTGTGTGTGTGTGTCCCTCAGCCCAGCCTACACCCTCTCCAATCTGGGATCCCTCTCACAATCCAGGACTACTGGCTCCCAACCGCTCGCCTGCCTGCCTGATCACCCCCTAACCACTCCCCTGCCAGCCTGATCGACGCCTAACTGTTCCCCTGATGGCCTGATTGCCCCTAACTGCCCTCTCCTGCAGGGCTGGTCACCCCTAACTGCCCCCCCCTGCAGGCCTGGTCACCCCTAACTGCCCTCCCCTGCAGGCCTGATCGCCTCCAAGTGCCCTCCCTTTCAGGCCTGGTCCCTCCCAACTGCCCTCTCCTGCTGGCCATCTTGTGTCCACATGGGGGCGGCCAGCTTGTGTGTTGGAGTGATGGTCAATTTGCATATTACCTCATTATTAGATAGGATTTATTTTTTTAAAATGTAATTAAATCTTTATTGTTAAAAGTATTTCATATGTCCCCCCTTTTCCTTCACTGCCCCTTCCAACCTGCTCCCACCCCTGACCCAGGCTTTTACCACCCTATTGTCTGTGTCCATGGGTTATGCACATATGCATGCAAGTTCTTTGGTTGATCACTCCCCCCACCCCCACTTTCCCTCTGAGATTCCACAGTCTGTTCTATGCTATGTCTCTGGATCTATTTTGTTCATCAGTTTATTTTGATCATTATATCCCACATATGAGTGAGATCATGTGATACTTGTCTTTCTCTGACTGGCTTATTTCACTTAGCATAATACTCGCCAGGTCCCTCCATGCTGTCTCAAAGGGTAAGAGATCCTTCTTTTCTACTAGTGTTTTTTAGAATTAAGAGCAGAGACCAATAAATGGCACAATCTCCAAATGAGTAAATTATAAAGTTTACAATTAAAATGGATAAAGAAGCAAAGAAAAATTAAAAAATTAAGTTCTGTTAGTTCAGGATGCAAAGGTTTCTTAAGAGAGCTTCCTATTTCTTCAACACTAAAAAGCATATCACATGAAGTCAAACCTGTCTGCCATGCCGTTCTCTGCCTCATTTCCTTGTGGGCTCCATGGGATCCCAGTAGAGGGGCCCTGGGTGGGTAGCCTCCACTAGAGCAAGGGGAAGAAGGGAGCCCTCAGCCCCTGGGGACTCACATTTTTGCTAATTCTAGCCCCAGGTCAGGAAGCAGGGCTGGGAGAGGGAGTCCAGGAGCCCCTCATCTCTCCCTTCCCTCCTGTCCTCTTGCAAGGACACCGTAACAGAAAAGGTGTGGGGTGGGGGCCCCAGTTCCTTCCTTGAAGTAGCTGGCAGGGAGGCCTGAGGGAGAGTGAGGGTCTAGTACACCACCCTAAGGTCACAGCTGAGCCTGGGGGCAACCCTGAGGGGCCCCCAACACTAGGAGATAAAAGCCTTGCAGACAGAAAGGAGGCAAAATCCCCTGCAAAGGGCTGAGGAAGCTATCTACAGAAGTGAAACAAATGCTACATGGCCAGGGGTATGTTCTCAAGGTCGCTGGGCTCCAGAGAGCAAGACCCCATTCAGCAGTGCTGGACAGAGATCAGCTGAGGCAAAGCAGTCATTGTGCAATCTAGAAAAGCAGGGCCATGGAAGCAGGAAGGTGGGTCCCCAGGCAGCCCATTCAGACACTCCTATGCAGGTGGAGCTGGGAATAAATACATGCACTGACCAGCTGACTGCATTGTTTTCTCTCAATGGGGGCTTTAGGAAACTAATCTGGTACAGGCCAGGGGGTTTTGTCCCAAATAAATGGCATCCTCACCCTATGCCCACCCCCTACCCTCCAGCAAAGGGTCAGATGGGGTCACTCCAGCATAACCTGGTGTCTGTGCCAGACTAGGTGTATACCCAGAGCTCCCATGAAACGCCAGTGACCTGAGCCTGCAGACTATACTCCACAAGCCACTTCTCCTCCTCAGGCCCCAGGGCAATCAAGCTGCCCACTCCTCTCAAGGCCAGGCTCCAGCAGGCACCAATCTCAGCTTCCACAGTTGGGGCTAGAGAAAGGAGAGCAGGGGACAAGGCCAGATGCCCCAAAGCACACAGCTTGGGGGGAACGTGAAAAAATGTGTGTGACCCCACCTACCTGCTCTCCAGGGTTTTCTCTGCAAAGGGGAGGTCATCTCAGAGCTATGACTTCCTGTGCCCTAATTACCCAATATTAGTTTTAATACCACAGCCAAGGGCGTGGTGAATACTCTGTGTAGGAAGAACATAAAAATCAAATGGAGACAATTCTACTGGCTTCACTAAGCTCCGGAGGCAAGAAGCGTCCTTTTTAGTTTGTCAGCAGATTCCCACTCCTGGCAGGAACAGTTCTGAGGGGTCGAAAAGAAGGCATGGCCCAAGCTTTCTGCTCCCCAGCTGGAGGCATGCATAGGAGTTGGCGAGGGATATCCTGATCCCAGTTCCCAGGCCAGCAGGGGATGAGAGCCACAGTCAGGGCCAGAACCCAGCTTCCTGCCAGTCTGTCTGCCCAAGGCTGATTCAGCAACGCCCAGAGCCCAAGCAGCTAATGTCCTGAACTGAGATGACCTGAGAGGGGCCGGGATAATCAGCGAGAAAATTCACTGCTGAGTTCTGTGGGTGAAGCATCTAAATCATCAGAAACAGTCACCCTTGTAGCTTTGGGGCAGAAAGGCCTGGACCAAGAGTAAAGATGGTCACATCACACATTGTATGCCTGCAATAAGAATAGCAGCAAATCTTTGTAACCCATCCATAGGCCAGGCTGGGACATTTGGGTGCCTAAGGGAAGTTATGTCTTGGTGCCCCAATGTCTTGGTGTTTTCACCATAAAATGCCAGCCTGACTCAGGGGCTCTTTCATGCCACTTTATCTCCCCAGTCTCACAAACAAATGCCAATGTCATCTCATTTTGATTCTGTTTTCATTGGTGGAACAACTAATGACATTTAAAATCAAACATGATCTGTCTTCCCTAGAAAACCCAGCCCCTGGCCTAGAGGAAAACCTCACCGTGCATCCCAGGCCACCTCCGTACCTGTCGTCTGGTCCACAAGGACTCGGGAGTTGATGATTCGCCCGAATCGAGAGAACATGTCCTCCACATCCTTCTGGGTCATGGTCCTGGGGAGCCCGCTGATGTACAAGTTAGCGTCTTTGATGACCTCTGAGCTTGGGCGAGCATATGACACCTTGAAAATAAAACCACTTTCGGGGGTTAGGACAGGTGTGTGGCCAAAGCATCAAGGAAGGGTGTTAAATTTTGGGGTGAGAAAAAGCCAAGCTATGGTGGGAGAACACGCAAACACTCATCACCTGAGGCAGCTCCCCATTGACCAGGCAATGAGCTGATAGCTGGCAGCATTTTCACATTTCAATGAAGGGAACATTCCTGTTTTATAAAGTAAGTAACTGAAGATCCCCAATTTGTTGGTGGCAGAGCAGGGACTGAACCCTGTTACCTGTGCACTTACCAAGGCCTTATCCCTCTCTGGATGATGAGCTGGGCTGGGAACAAGACCTGCCTATGAGGAGTGGTGGGCAAGAAAGCTGGGTGCTGCTGGGAATGCAACATTCACCTGCCAATAGGCAAGCTCACCACAGGAGCCCAGATGGGGACGTGAGTGCTAGGGGAGCCCTGAGTTCCACACACAACTGTTCAATATTAAATGACTCTAGGCATTTTGGGCTTATGTTTTGCAAACTTGAAGAAAGCCTAAAAGGAACTCTTGTAGTGGCTTAGAGAAAATGGCATGTATGTACTAGAGGTGGTGAGAGGCTGCAGGGGCTGATGGTAAGAAAAGGTCTTTGATCCTTTCTTCAAAGAAAAGGTTACTGAAGAAAAAGTGACAGCTGTGTGGACCCTGCAGGACACAAGGGGGACCAAGGTCTTACTGGAAAAGGGCAGCTTGGAGGAAGGCTTCTGCCCACAAAGGGGCAATCTAGGGAAATGGGACTCAGTCACACCCAACATAGTCAGAACTGAGTGAGGAGGCTGAGAGACAGAGACGGAAGGGGAGGAAACAAGAGAACCGTGTGTTCCAGAAGGTGGGGAATGTGCAGAACTTTCTGAGGGTCACAAAATTGATGTGATGAGGAGCCTGAAACCATAACACAGGAGCAAATATGAACTCTTTTTTTTTTAATTTCAAGTATAAACTCTTGTGTCACTGGGCAGCATGAGGGCATGGACAACAGGTGTGTTCTTACCAGAATGCTCAGTCCTGCTAGGAAGGGCAGGAGTGTAGTTCTATGTGCCAAGAACACTCCCCTCCCAGCTCTATGAGGGCATGTTTGTCTGATTTGTTCAACATAGTAGGTGTTCAATAAACATGTGCTAAGTGAATGTCGAATGAAGTGGCTGTGATGGGGCTGGAAGGGTGACAATGCTGTGCCACTACAGTATGCCAGGAGTGGGGAAAGCAGGGCATGAAAATGGGGGTGCACAAGAATAGGAATGTCACAGCCAGACATGAGACAGGCAGGGGAGGCCTGGGCCGAGAAGGGGGCTCCCCTCTCTACATGCTCTTCATGGGGAACCTCCTTTTACTGGTGGGGCGAGGATGCCATGAGCCACGGCATGAGGCCTGGAATGGTCACCACTCAACACACATGTGAGATGCCAATACCTCAATTTGGGGCAGTCAGGAGGCTCCCCAGAGGCCCTGGAAGAACCAGGTTTCTGAGATGCTAATGGTGCTCTTGACAGTGATGGTGAGGTAAGTCAGGTTTGGCACAGATTCCAGCCCAGGACAGGAATGAATGAGGTGGTGCTCACCACTCTTTACCTTAATGGTTTTGGATTGGAGCCGCAGGCCATTCAGTGTGTTTATTGCTTTCTCCGCGTCCTTTGCAGTCACATAGTTCACAAAGCCATAGCCCAAGCTGTGTCCTGTGGGAGAACATGTGCACACTGGTAAACCAACCAAGAGAGACCAAGAGGATGAAAAGGACTATGCCCTCCTATGTCTGGCTGGGCTCAAAAGAATAAGATCAGAGAAAAGACAAAAAACACAGGAACCTTAAGAGCCAGGGTCTGTAGGAAATGTGTTTATAATTTATATTAATGGTTTATTTATTACTGTTTTTTAATATATATTTTATTGATTTCAGAGAGGAAGGGAGAGGGGAGAGATAGACAGAAACATCCATGATGAGAGATAATCATTGACTGGCTGCTTCCTGTGCAACCCCCACCAGGGATCAAGCCCACAACCCGGGCATGTGTCCTGACCAGGAATCGAACCATTACCTCCTGGTTCATAGGTTGATGCTTAACCACTGAGCCACGCTGGCCCGCCCGGCAATATTAATGGTTTATTTGGTACACTTCTTTGGCAAACTTATACATTTTCTGCAAAGAACAAATGTTACTTCTGGAATTTAAAAAAGTTATTTAAAAAGAAAAACTGTGCTACTGACTACATCCTGGGGAACCCATCACTAAAGCAATGACAATGATTGGTCCCACTAGTGATCACTACTCTGTGGGGTTCTGAGGGGCCTGGGTCTGAGAAGGGGAGAAGGACGGTTACAGGCAGCAGATAGGTGGACAGGCATTTCTCTACCACTTCATACCCCAAAGCAGGGAAAGCTTGCTGGGCTCTGGTGCCACCCAGTGTCAGTTCTCTTACTTTCCCAAATCTGCAACCCAGTGGGAAGCACAGGGAGAAGACAGCACTTAGAGAAGTTCCAGCCCTGCTGGGCAGCCCCTGTACCACCTTCACAGCCTTGGCCAAGCTTGCAGGGCCCCAAGAACCTGAGTTCTTTCCAAAGAGATCCAAGGTTACAGGTAACATGTTCCAGCTCTTTATGAAACTTTTAGAAGTGGGAGTGACCACCAATTGGATACCCACAGGGACTCAGCATAGAAGGCGAGGCTCTGTGGGTTCCCAGGAAGCCAGAGAGGAGCAAAGGCTGAGGGTCAGAGGTGGAAGGAGCCTTACACCTTCACAACAGGGGGAGCAGGAGGATACGCAAGGAAGAGAACCACCAATGTGCCCACATCTGACCCATGCACATGCCACATTAGGGGGCACCCACTACACACAGGCACTGCCCTGAGCAAAAATGGAGCTGTGTGTAAGACCAAGGACCACCTTCATTGAGTTTTGTTCCATTCCTCCAGTTGGCAGAGGGTTACAATGAGCAGGTAAAAAATACAACCAGGGCGCCCGACTGGCCGGAGTGGCTAAGTTGATTGAACATCATCCTGTGCACCAAAAGGTTATGGGTTTGATTCCCATTCAGGGTACCTACCTAGGTTGTGGGTTTGATTCCCAGTTGGGGAATATACAGAAGGCAACTGATCACCCGGTCAGCATGGCTCAATGGTTGAGCATCGACCTATGAACCAGGAGGTCACAGTTTGATTCCCGGTCAGGGCATATGCCTGGATTGTGGACTCAATCCCCAGCGTGGAATGTGCAGAAGGCAGCCGATCAATGATTCTGTCTCATCATTGATGTTTCTGTTTCTCCCTTTCCCTTCCTCTCTAAAATAAATAAAAATATATATATTTTAAAAAGCAACTGATCGATGTTTCTCTTTCTTTCCCTCCCTCCCTTCCTCTTTCTAAGCATGCCCTCAGGTGAGGATTAAAAAAATTAAAAAATGAAAAATACAACCAGGCCCTGAGCCACACAGAGATGGAGATCCACATTGCAGCTATGCTGACTCAACCTGAGATGCCACAGGAACCCAGGCCCATTTCTGTGATAATGAGACTTGGAACCCAGAGGACAGCTTAACTCAGTTTTGCCACTTAAAAAAAAAATAATTATTTTTTAAATTTAAAGAAAAATTACAAAGATAACGTAGAATTCCCATATACCCCACACCCAGTTTCCCATTAGTAACAACTTATAGTAGAATGGATAGAACACTTGTTTACAAGTAATAAACCAGCAGTGATACATTATTTTTTAAAAACTATATTTGTATTGATTTCAGAGAGTGAGGATGGAGAGGGAGAGAGCGATAGAACCATCAATGATGAGAGAGAATCACTATCAGCTGCCTCCTGCATGCCCCCTATGGGGATCGAGCCTGCAACCCTGGCATGTGCCCTTGACCAGAATCAAACCCGGGACCCTTCAGTCGGCAGGCTGATACTCTACCCACTGAGCCAAACCGGCCAGACGATACATTATTATTAACTGCAGTCCATATTTGATTTCCATAGTATTTGTCTTTCCCTAATGTTCTTTTCTGTTCCAGGATGCCATTCGGAATTCCCCGTAACATTTAGTTATTATGTCTCCTTAGGCTCCTCTTGGCTGAGACAATTTCTCAGACCTTCCTTGCTTGTGATGACCTTGACAGTTTTGAGGAGGGCTGGTCAGGAACGTTGTAGAATCCCTCTCAATCTGGGCTTGTCAGATGCTTTTTCTCATGGTTAGGTTGGCATGATGGGTTTTGGGGAGGAAGATCACATAGTGCAATGAATGTCCTTCTCATGACATCAGGGGCGCATGCTGTCAATGTGACTTATCACAGATGATGTTGACCTTCATCTCCCGGCAGAGCAGTCCGTTTGGCAGGATTCTTCTCCACTGTAAGGTCATCCCCCAACCCCAAACAATAGGCTTTGGAAGGAAGTCATGGCACAGCCCACACTTAGGGAATACCTTGTGGAATTCCACTCTGCCTCCTTCAGGGTAGAGTAGCTATATAAATTATTTACACAGCCGCTTTCCTTTTTAAAGAAACAAAAACAAAATCTGACCCTCCAGACCCATATTTTTAACAAAACCCCATGGACCTCAGAGACTCAGCTCCTGAGCCTGAACAGTGAGGACCCTGGAGAGGAGGGCTGTGGGGTCCAGGCCCATCTAGCAGGAGAGTCATAGCACAACTCAGAAAACTACAATCAGCTCCAGATCAGGGACTTAGGGTCCCTGCAAACATTCCAGACCACAAATGTGAGAGCTGAGGATGCAGAGGAGGTCTGTGGTAGATTCCCAACCAAACAGCAGCCTGCCTGGGATTTTTATGCCCAAAAGCTTGCTCTTCAACCTCACTCTGTCAGTCTCTCACTGTAGCCAGGCCAAGAGTCTGTCCTTTCTGACACAGCCTTGGACAGGCTCCTCCACTCCTCCCTGATCAGCAGCACCTGCACACCAGTTTCCTTGTCTTTCTGCTCCTCCCACAAGGCCAATTCCACCCAGTATCACCAGTCTTCTTCCCTACTGGTGCCTCAAGTGGTCTAAGCAATGCTGGAGAAACCAAACACCAGTGAAGACTCACCCAGGCCCTGTTCCTGTGTCTTCAACTACAGCGGCTCCTCTCAGCATATAAACATGGGCCTTGCCCCACCTCAGTGCTTGGTGGCCCTGGCTGGCTCCCTAGAGTGGTCACTGCTGACTGCAAGCACTACCCTTACCAAGGCTGTCCATGGCCCTTGGATGCTGCCCATGGATAGTTTCAGGACCCAGCTCCCTGAGCTCTCAGCTTGAAGTGCCACCTCCTCCAGGATGTGACAACAGTGCCAAGTTTTCTTTCTCTCCAGCTGTCCCTCTTCGGGTTCTTCCTCTGCCAATTTCATCAAGATGGTCCCCAAGGCTCTGCCTTTGGTCCTTTATCTCCATCAGTCTTCCTGGGTGACCTCTCTGACCACCTGTGTGCCTGTACCTTCTAATGTCACCTAGGAAGTTGCACAGCCTTAGATGGCCACTGCCTCCCTTTCCTGTTCCTACACCCACTCCAGTTTTCCTGAATGAGTCCACCAATAATAACTGAGCACCTAGTATGTGCCAGATTCCAGGCCAGGTTGGCTGGGTGGGATGGGGTTTTGATGATGATCAGAAAGGAGGAAGCTTCTACCTTTATAAAACTCATATCCCAGTGGGCAAATTGGACAACAAACCAGCAAGAAACAAACCACTGCAGAGGTGCTAGGAGGAGAATCTTTCTGGTGGTGAGAGGCTGACAGGATGGGCCCTCAGTAGACAGGGTGGACAGGAGCACCCTTTGAAGAGGTGATATCTGAAGCAAGATCTCCGGATAGCTGAGGACAAGCATTCCAGACAGAAGAGCAAGGTCCAAGTCTCTGAGGTAGAGACAATGAGTATGTTCCAGGAAATGGGGGAATGGACCAGAGGTGGCTGCTGGTTGGAAAGCAGATGCAGTAGGTCAAGCTAGGATTCTGTGGAGTCTGTGAGCTTGAGCAGTATGCACCAGAGAGGGGGCAGCAGAAGGAAGACCCACAGAGAAGACCTGCAGATAGGCTGATGCCGGAGAGAGCTTCAGAGGAGCCTAAAGTGCCAGCACTCATGGGATGGGCTGAGCCTTCTGGGGCCAGGTGGGGAGGGATCTCTGCATACCCATCCCCAGGGCTGGCTCTGTCCCCTCAATCTGTTCTACCCTCTGTGGTGGGCACCTGTGTGCAGCAAGAAGAAAGGCGGTGGAGGAACAAATGGGAGTCCCTGGCTTTCACCCAATTGATGATGCTGTAGAGCAGTGATGGTGAATCTATGACACGCGAACTCATTTTTTTGGTTGATTTTTCTTTGTTAAATGGCATTTAAATATATAAAATATCAAAAATATAAATCTTTGTTTTACTATGGTTGCAAATATCAAAAAATTTCTATATGTGACACGGCACCAGAGTTAAGTTAGGGTTTTTCAAAATGCTGACACGCCGAGCTCAAAAGGTTCGCCATCACTGCTGTAGAGCAAAGTGCTTAACACAGTGCTGAGCACCAACCTCCACTCTTACCTTCACCATGAACCAATCACTTTCATCTTTGGCTTCTCATTAGAATCACCAGGGAAGCTTCTAAAAGATGATCACTACCCAAGCCATATCCCAGAGCAATGAAATTGGAATGGGAGTGGAGTGGAGCAGGAGTGGGGTGGCTTCAGTAGGATTCCAACACGCACAGGTTG